TATGGCGAGCAATTTATGGAGAATTTTTTGCTTTCTGACCCGTCCTGCATCTACTCGTGCTTATATGTTCCTCATTGAATGTAGCACTCGGGTTCAACTGGTACTAGATGTAGTAGAAATTATATTGTTCCTCTACAAAATTTTATCGATTTTGGGCAAAAAAGGTGCCAGGATGTGGTGCCTGACGCTGCCTCTTCCCCTTTCCTAAACATGAAGACAGGTGCTGCTGGCACCCATTCCAAATGTGTGAATGATGGGCCTCATATGTTTTGTTTGTTTCGAGCTAGAAAATCTGGTAAGGCTATCTGGCTGTATACAGTATAAGTATGGTTATGAGCACTACTCATCAGTTCCTGTGCGAAACTTTTTTCCACATTAGGGTACTCTCAGGATAAAGGATATGGTCTTTGGACGTTGATCAACCCCGCCTGAGTGATGCGCCCACGCATCCGACTTCCGTTCAGAACCGCAGTGGCGTGTAGAATGCGTATGTGGCCTTTACAATAACTTGATATGGCCAGCCGATGTACAAATCTGTGTTTTTACCCTCCCAGGCGAGTTCGGTACCAGTCAACTGGCCCTGAAAGCATAGAAGACATGGTTGGCTTTGGGAATATCGATTCGGATTCGAACCCGTGACCATGCGTGTGAGGTAGTGCGCCTTTTGCCATTTCACCACTTCGGCCCACTCTCAGGATACACATGGAAAATAGAGATCATCCCACATTCAGGGTTGATATTTGTGATAAGCTGCTCTTAATACGCCAATACGATGCTGATAGGAAATCGAAGGCGAAAAGGCATCCAAAATGGGATCAATTAACGCCAAACACTTGAGCTTATGTATGAAGAATCGAGGAGGTTAATGCCTCCTGTCTTTGGCCCATTCCACTTTTGGGAAGCACGCCACATTTGACTTTTACTCAGCATGGGAGTGGCATTTTGAAGGCATATGTGGTATATGAGCTGCAGTGATTAACCGATGTACCAGTTAGCGCTTTTACCTTCCCACGATCTTGAAAAAATTATCGATTTCGGAAGGGTAGGAAGCTTGGTTAGGTTGTAGTTAGCGGGATACGATCCATCTACTCACCAGAGTTAATAGTGTTAACTTGGAACTGCCATCTCCGCTAAGTTGGTAGTGGATATGATGCCAGAACCTCAATGGATTTAGTTACAGCGTGGCCATCCCCCTAGGGCCCATGTATGATTGTGATGAGCCCAAGGCTCGTACGCGTTTTCCATCAATTCATCCACCAAGGTCGCCGCATTTCAAACGCTACGATTCGAGCTGAGCTGGTTCTGAGAGGAGTGCTCACCCGATGCACTTGTGATCGCGTTTGCGCCTGTCGCGAAATTAGGCGATTACCGATGAAGTAAAGGTTTTTAATGTCATTGAGATTTCTACAGATTCCTCCTCATTCTTGAGAGAATTCGAGGAAATAGTCGTTGTTGACTGATGCCCACGTTAAACGGCCACGGTATTGAGGGGAGAGCATAGCCAATAAAGTGGGAAATCAGGTATACAAGTGCGTCCGAATCGAAGGTATTGAATGTGAACCCATACTTTTCTTCGCCAGAGACGATTTAGGAGACTTATTGCTTCTCTACAATTTTATTTGATCTCTATTGATCTAAAGTTTAGAGAGGTGGCTCGAGTTCTAGTTGAGTCGGATGATTGGATGAGTGTACTGTCTCCATCAGATACGCTACCTATTGGACGTCATAATCTTTCGAGAGTCACACCTCTGAGAAAGTTAATCGAGAAGTTCCCCGACATCGCAGAGATTGTGTTTTGTAGATGCATTAGGTGAGTAAGCATGCACTGATCTGGGGGTTATGACGGAGAATTGGGTGATGATTGGATCGCAGCAGAGTACCCTATTTGATGACCTTCGTCTTTAGTGATCGCGGAGACAGTCCTAACGACTTTTACTTCTTTCGTGAGTATAACTTTGCACTGATTGACGACACGTATATGATGCCTTCCAAGGACGGGACAGGTTCGTTGACGTAACTCAAAGTCCCCATCAAATGAGACCTAATCGGCATCTTATTGCTGAAGGCTGTGATTATTTTCAGAGCTACTGTCAACAGTTAGCCCCTATAACGATGACGGAACTCTCAAACAAAATGCCAAAGCCTACTCGGACGACTACGACGTAGTCTACAAGAACCACCCTCTGAAAATAATGGTCAGTACTCCTATTAGTTCGGCAGCTCACCCTTCACTAAAGATCGGCTCCATTTTCAGGCGCAGTCAGAAATCCTGCTGTCACATCCGCTAGTGCAAGCGCTTCTCAAGCACAAATGGAATAGTCTTGGCCGTTACGTCTATTACTTTGGTGAGGTTATGTTGCACCCAAAACAATGTTGTCTGAGACCTTCAAAGTTTAGCTCTCGGTGTCTATCTTCTCTTCCTGTGCACCTTCACCATGTACGTAACTCACACACCACCTCCATTCAACGTTTACGACGAGACCACCAAAGAAATGCGGGACCTCACCGATCTCTTCAATAGCGAAACCGAATGCCCAAATGTGGTGAGTTCAACAAGATAATCGAGATTTTGGAATCAGCAGTACGTTAGGCAAATGAAAAAAGCATAAATAGACAGACTCTCATTTTCAAGTCCTTTAGTATACGTTATGAAACAGGGATTTTGTCGTAATTAGGGACGAAGCGGTCTGACACGTAAAGGTGCATAAATTTGTGATAGAATGAAAATAAGTAGTTTGGAAGCGCAGTGGAGAGCAACCGAAAGCAGGAGCCGGACTTGCCAATGGTAGGGTTCAGTATGAGAATAAATGGTAGGTCAAAAACTATACGCACGATAACTTGGATTCAAGTAGGTACAGCGGGGAAAGCGAGGATGGTTCAGCAGTAACAGGAGACCCAAGTGACTTCATTCGTGAACTGCCAAATGAACGAGCCCTCCCGTTGATTAAAAAGTCTCTTTAAAGTCTTTTGGCGTTGATCAATCCCGTCTGAGAAATGCGCCCTGCATTCGATTTTCCTTAAAAATCGTAGTGGCGTATTGGATTAGTGTGTAGCCTACGCAATGACTTGCGGTGGCCACCCGATGTACAAGTCAGTGCTTTTATCCTCCCAAACGCATTTGGTAGTCGACCACGGAGGGATGGAGGGCTTGGTCGACCTATGCGATATCGATCTAGGATTCGAATCCCTGACCATTCGTGTTTGATAGTGTGCCCCTTGCCACAACATCACCTCCGCCCTCCGCTGATTTCAGGAAGTATAGGAGTAAGAATAGCTTCCAGGTCTCTAACTCAAATTTCCCATTAGATGTGAAGTGTCACTGTGTGGTATGAGCAATCAACAGAACCCTTCGTTGAATTTAGCTACCGTAGAATGCATATATGTACATAAATATTTGGAGCTAAGGAAGCTGGGATTGATCTGGACGTGCCAATAATGGCCATTATTACACTCTTTCCTCAACAGGCAATTTTAGCAGCCACCACGCCAAGCCCAACTTCTTTGCTTTGTCTCATCCATTGCCATTTCAGAATATCACTCGTCCACCATGGTTGGCAACGTGCAGGTGGATCGTGATCAGCCTAGCCATAGCACAACTATTCAAGGAGGTGCAGACTCGATTTTGAAGATTACAGTGAACTTCTGGAACACTTCGTACTATTCGACTATGTGATGCCTTAGCGGAAAGATGTGGGATGCTAACGATGCCCTTAAAATCCTTGTTGTTTTCAGCTTTTCCAACTGATAACTCGTCGGTACCGATACATCTCCTTCGAGAACGCCCTCGAATGCTTCATTTATTCGTCGGTCATCATCTCGCTGAGGGACTTGTCGCCTTGCTCTGAGACTACCGGTATAAGAATGGTGAGCGGCCTTTTTTTTTATTTTTTCTTTTGTGTCACTGATAATCAGGGCCTTCAAGCTATTGTTTACAGTTGTGACTTCCGCTAATTCATGTGTAGAGAGGTGAGCTGAAGGTTGGGCGTTGCACAGGAAGTTTGTGGAAGACTTGCATAACTTCTTGATCCTTTTTCTGTTGTCAATTAATAAAAGTCAATCTAAATCCCTACCACAGCAAATGTAGACATCCACCTCACGAGTCAGTCTTATGGTTAAATCCATTCTGCTAGCAGATACATATGTAGGCTGAAAGGCAGAGTCAAAAACTTCCTGTGTCTTCGGGAGTCCCTCTTAAGCTTTGGAAATCGGCAAAATTTCATTTTTCTAAAAAGCCTACAGGAAGCGGGATAAGTGGCAGTCATGAGGAATTTCTTCAGAAAAAAACAGGGTGAACTTTAGTGCTCAGCAGAGATCGAATGTTCTAAAGTGCACTTGGGTCCATCTCACAGGGTATTCTCGTTCAGCTTCTTCCGTTCTAGATCTTTGAAGCTGGTTTAGTCAATCCATGAGGGTTCCTGTAAACGAATGAAAAACTAAATGGCCGAGGAATCCCAAAAGAGCGATTTTTTCCTCGAAATGATAATTTTGAAAAGCGGGGTGAGCAATTTTTCGGTGAATCCCTATAGTTTTCTTGATATTTCATTTTCTCTGAGGAGCCTTTCATGAAAATCTGCTTCTCGATTATTTTTTACCTCAAGATTCGGTTAATGAAAGCCTTAAAGCTGAAAAGTTGCCGCTGGTGAGCTTTGAATTTGACAGAACATCTGACAAAGAAGGCTTTGTTTTCGATTTTCTTTAGAAGTGGGAAGTAAGCTTGTGTTCAGTGATATGAGCTTCTAACACCTACTAAGCAATCGATAATCGATTTCTTGGAAGAGCAGCAGTAACGACATAAATTTCATTTGTCTTTGCCCCGAGCAATCGCGATCCTGAAGAGCTTTCAGAGCAATTCCTCGATTGACTGGCTCGATGAATATCATTCTTTCACCCAGATATTTCAAAGAAGTATTGAACTCTTATAGCACTGAATGCTATGTGCCAGTCTTGAATGTGCCCCAAACACCGGTCTTGCAATTTTCATTTCCTTTATGCTCCGTTTTTTTCAGAACTGGCAATGGCTTTTAGCAGCTGCGTGTGCCTTTTCGTCATGGATGAACCTCTTACTTCTGATAAGAAAACTGCCCAGGTACTACTCTGTGGTCACTTACCATTTCTACTTTCACTCAATGTAAAGAGGCCTTTGCAGATTTGGCATTTATGTGGTGATGTTTTTCGACGTTCTGCGAACATTCTCGAGGTTCTTCATCGTTTTCGCGTTGTTCGTGATTGCCTTCAGTATTGCATTCTTCGTTATCATGCAGAATCGGGTAAGTCACTTGCTCCATGAGGTTTCTTCTCTGATATTTTCCATTCAGCCTGAGTTCTCCTCTGTACCGTCCTCTGTGCTAAAGACTACAGTGATGATGATCGGTGAGTTTGAGTTCACCGCCATCTTCCATGGCGATGCTGATGTGCATCCGGAACGGCTATTCGGTCACGCCATTGCCTATCCTCTGTTTCTCTTCTTCTGTGTCATCATGACTATTCTTCTGATGAATCTTCTGGTAATTTTGACATTTCTGTCTCCTAATTTTTTCGAAAGAACTTCCCTCTTTCAGGTTGGTTTGGCTGTAGATGATATCAAATCTGTACTGGAGGAGGCCAAGCTAAAGAGGCTGAGCATGCAGGTGCGAATTTTGCAACTCTATAGGGGAATGCTGACAATATTGTCTCAAAGAGGAGCTTGGAATAGTTCCCCTTGACCCGTCATCTAAAAGTGTTTTGAAGGGTAA